ATCCACCTGCCTTGGCCTCCCAAAGTGCTGGGATTACAGGCATGAGCCACCACACCCGGCCCATGTTAGCCGTTTTAAGTGTACATTTCAGTAACATTAAGTACATTTACATTGCTGTGCAACTGCCACCAACATCCCATCTTCAGAACTTTTCCATTATCTCAAACTGAAATTTTGACCTCATTAAGCATTAACTCCCCAGCCCTCTTCCCTTAGCCCCTGGTAAACACTGTTCTCTTTTCTCATCTCTGAAATCATACAGTATTTGCCCTTTTGTGTCTAGATTATTTCACTTTAGGGAATTTGATTTTATGCCAGTTTTTCTAACAGGTTGCTTTTGGAGACAGTAATAATCAAAAACTTACTGTCCAAAGCCCTGAGTCTGAAATTCTGCATCCAAAAGTGCTACAGTGTGCATTAAACTGATTAAAATAATGTGGCATCTTTGACGATGAGCTCTATGTTCAACTTTGTTGTTAAGATTTATATTGTAAGAAAATCTCATACATGAAAATGTAAATGTAAAATTCCACTATTTTGTTGGCATTGCTTTTCTTGTTTGGGGGATCTTTACCTGTATTATTGGCTTCCAGGGTCTCAGCAGGGCACAAGGGATATTTAGCCTGTCTGAATTTTGGAATCAAGTTTGGTGATATGTGAGCTGTCCCAAGAAAGCACTAGTATAATGTAATGGTCTTAACCTGCATTCTTTAATGCTTAGCCCTGGGCTCTGTAACCCCACCCCCATGCCCAGCAGCATCCCAGGTCCTCTTCTGGAATCCAACTAGAGTTCCTAAGGGAGGAGGATCCCCAGAGGGAGAAAGAGAAAGTGTCAGCGGACAGAAATATGATACTGAAATAGCAGAGTTCGTGTTTGAGTACTGACTTTCCCGTTTCGCATGGAAGAAATTTCCATGCCTTGTCTGGATATCTTTAGAATTGCTCCTTTCAGTGTTAAGATGGTTTGTTCCACTGTAAGGGCTGTGCCACATGGCTTGGTGGACTTGGAGAGGCGGAGGTGGAAACAATGCGCAGGAGTTGGCCTGGGGCTTTTTGTTTGCGTGTCCCTCTTTACCTATTCATAATCATGGATCCCCTCTGCTTTGTGATATTGTGAACCACGCATAACAGCGCCTCTTTACACCACCGGGTTGAGAAGAAGGCGCCTGAGGCTGACTTTCTGGACCTTCCGTCACGCAGTAAAAGATGTGGTTGGTGTGTGTCAGGATGAGAGGGCCACAACTGGACCCACGTGTGGCCGCTTCCCGGGTCTGCCATGTGCTTTGCTAGCTGCAAAGTGTTTCCTCTAAAACAGCTGATCCTGCATGACTGTCTCCTGCATTTTGTTGTCAGAACGTGCACGCTGCTTTCATAAGAACTAATTGAAGAGGGAGCTAGTTTGCATCTCGTTCTTGCATACCCTGAGTCATGAAAAACATTTTCTCTTAAGCAAAATGGAAAGAAAGAAAGGAGAGAAAGAGGGCCAAAAAAAAAAAAAAAAGAAAGAAAGAAAAAAAAAAAAGGTTGCCATCCAGTGGAGGAAGGAGTAATTCCCAGCTTCATTCAGGAAAAACGCAGGCTGAAATATGCTTAACTGTTTTAACTTGACTGGGGATTTTTACCACCATATGGGTTTTTTTTCGTGACATCCGGAGCCAAATGGGTGCAGTATGCCTTTAAGAAAAGAGGTGCCTCACTAAACTTCGCTGTAGTTGTGTTTCACCGTTTCGGTAGGGAAGGAAAGTGTTAATTTCTTATTTGTACACTTTTTTTCCCCGACTTCCTTCCTATTCACTTCATTAAATCTAGAGGCAGTTCAGCATGGGAGCCGTCTGTATGTTGAATTAGGGCTCGCACTCTTGCGCAACACGTCACCAGTCGGAAACTGGGGGTTTGCTTCTGTGATTTATTTCATTATTGTGCTGGTAAAAGGTTTGGAAGGGAATTCTTTTTGGGGGTAGTACTTTAGCATTGTGTAGCAAGTTTTTGGGTTTTTTTTTTGTGTGCCCCCCAACCCCCAGCGCTGAGTTTGAGTCAGTTGAGCCAGTTTAATAAATAATTTTTTTAAATAAAAGAACAGTTTAAAATCTCCATGAATAATTTTACTTACATGCAGGAGTAATCTTACTCTACTCTTTATGTGCGAAAAGCATTGGGAAGTATTTAGTGAATTGATTTCCATTAGAAAAAGACCCTTAGAAATCACAGAACATAAAGCACTGCATATGGATGTGTTTGGGGTCTTTGGGGAGGAGGGAAGATGTTTTGTAGCTCTCTGCATTCCTGCATAAAACCTTAGTTTAAGGGGAATAATGGTCAGTACTTTGTGTGTTTCCTTGTAATTCCAGAACCTAAATTTAATAAGAATCTGCACGTATTAGCAATTGTAATAAAAATTGTTTCAGTTGTTCTGTTTGCAATTTAATTTGTTTTCGCTTCTTAGCTACTCACAGATTTAGAGATTTAAAACTCCAAATATCACAAGCTTATGCTTTTTCCCTCTTTTCAAAATTGAGGGGGGTGAGAGTAGAAATATCCTTTTTACAACTCCCCCCAACTTCATTTATCCCACTGAGAAGAAAAACAATGAAAAATTTTACAGCATGAAACTGAAAGTGAAGTGTTACAGTTGTTCTGGATTTTCTTTAAAGAGCAGAATTACATATTATATTAAAATATTTGAACCTTAGAACATGCACATTGCTTTTATTTACATGCATTTAATTTTTTAAAAAATTGTCTTCTATTTTAAAAATCATTTCGACTGCTCCAAACCATGCTGCTATTTTTTTAAAAATAAGGTATAAAATGCCAAAAAAGCATACCTTGTTTTAATTGTTTAAAATAAATTTGAATATTAATTTGTTTTCTTACTGGCTTAATTGTTAAAATGTGAGCAAGAATCAGAAACCACCTGAGCTAAAATCTCTAATTCTGCTGCCTGGAATAATAAGGGAAAAAAATATGATAAGTAGTTGTCAATATTAAAACAGGCTGAAGGAGGAAGCCTTCGGGCCTTGTAGTAGGTAGAATGAAACAGCAGATTTGAGTATCCACAATCCTTTCAGTATTAAATTTTCAGTAAAATAAAATTACTTGTATATGAAAACATAGCCTTTCCCCAGCTCTCTTTTTTTTCCTGATCAGCTGATGAAGAGACTAGCAGCTCGCTGCTTTGCTGGCTTGTTAATTTTATCCCCACTAACTGTGATTTCCGATAGCCGGCCTGCTGATAGTGGTAAGGTAAATATCCTTTTTCGTTGCCGTCTTGAAGATTCAGTAGAACTACATCCCAGGCATGTGTAGGTGTGTAACACATCAAAAGCCGGTGTTCTCCGTATTTCTGTGTGCAACTGGGTGCTTGAGGAGAGCAATACCATTAACTGTTGACAGCCTTGCATGCTGTATTTATTATTAGCATGTTCAGCCTCCAAGATATGCGGGACAATTTCCTTTTCTTAATCTTCGCTTAGCTGCAGTGTGTTTAGCTGTATAGTGGGTGTCCTGCTTTTTAGGCAAATGAATATTAATGCAATAATGTGAAGCTTTTTTTTTTTCTTTTCCTTTTTCCTCATAACTCATCAGATCTCGCCTCCTTCATAGTGGTTATCTGAACACTGTAGGATCGTGATGGAAATTGTCTTTTGATTATTAAGGCCTAGGCTCAGACTGTCCCTTAGGAATCTGTCTGTGTGCATGTTGCTTCTATGGATTTGCACATTGGAGGATGCATAGAAAACATATTTTTTTTTAAAATCCCACTGGCATTTTTAACATGCCAGGTTGTTTTGTGTTCTGCACCAGGTTTTCTTCACAAAACCTTTCTTTTTCAGGAAGCATTGTACATAAGTGAAAGAAATTATGTCTGAGCTGTAATCACTCTTTATATTGATTGTTATACTCACATGATCATAAATATTAGCCATGTTTGGTGCTGTGGAGAAATGAAGGTAATTGCCTTATGATTAGAGCTCTTTCAGCTACGAGAAAGGATTGATTATCATTTGCATACTGGAGGCAATATTGAGAGGCAGGAGGAACAAATAACAACATTAGTTATTTTGTGTGAGAGAGCAATCTCAAAATATAATTTAAAGATTTTTTTAGAACATTTCTATGTTCAAATTTTATGTTCTTTTTTTTTTTTTCCTTTGCAGTATTTTTCCTCTATTTTTCTTTTGAGTTTTGAGATTTACCAGGAAAAAAAAAAAGTTGAAACTTCTGGGTCTGTCACATGGATCTTTTAGCCCTTTATGAACAGGTTTCTTTTATACCTGGTTGTTTTTATAGCTATTTTATTATCTCTCTGCATTAGTGCTGCTGGCTCTGGTTTAAAGCAAGCGTTTGCAGGTAATTGGAAAAAAGTGTTTATTGTTTGTGAGTGTGTGTGTTCTTTATCGAATGATTTAAGTGCGTTTACCAAGGAATGTGGCTTTGTACTTTCCCGTTTCCTTGTTTACTAATTGCCACGTTAGAACAAAAATCTAGATGGAATTTTGATTTATATTGTTAATCATGAATAAATTGATGCAAAACCTCAAGAAAAGGTCAAAGCTTATATGCTCGTGTGGATGTATTCTTAGGGATTTTTTTTCATAACCCACCCCTCGTTTTGTTTACCTTTTCCTTCCCTTACAGTATTGAGAAAATTAGGGTCATGTTCTTAAACTGAGCTAAAATTTCATCTGGATTCAGTTATCATCAAATACTTGAATTTATAGATCTTTTAATATTTGTCATATTCTTCTTTACTGTGAGTGTTTTGGGCCTTCAGTGTGTTTTGCTCATGAAACAGACTTGAGTTAAAGATGCATTTATCCAATATGGTAGCATTCCTTTTTTCTTCTTCCTCCACTGATTACTGTTAAATTTTACTTCTTTTTTTTGGTTAATTTTTCATTTTATTCTAATTGTTGAAGCTATATATAAATATACACATACTTTTTTTGTCTTGGTTATTTTCTTGTCTTGAATTTTTCTCCTTTGTTTTCAATGAACAGGCCATTGAAGACGGCAATTTGGAGGAAATGGAAGAGGAAGTACGGCTTAAGAAGCGAAAAAGACGAAGAAATGTGGATAAAGATCCTGCGAAAGAAGATGTGGAAAAAGCTAAGAAGAGAAGAGGCCGCCCTCCTGCTGAGAAACTGTCACCAAATCCCCCCAAACTGACAAAGCAGATGAACGCTATCATCGATACTGTGATAAACTACAAAGATAGGTGAGTGTTTGGTTCCTTCACCTTGATCATCTCTCACCAAGATGCCGAATGGTGCTACCTAAGGAGGGAGCAGTTGTTAAGTTATGCACTTAGGTTTTATTTTCTTTCTAGTTTGTGTTTTATAGCTTGCTTTCTTTGTACCTGTTTAAAATGGCCACTATTGCTATTTTGTGTGATGTTTCATAATGTATTATTTAAGATAGTTGAAAATTTAGTTTAGATTACAAAATTTAAAAAAAATTCTAAATTAGAAAAGGATTCTTAAGGACCTCTGAAATACCATCTGTAAATGAAGATATTTCAGATGAAAGGGATTGGAATGATGGAGTAAAATTATTTTTTTGAATTGAATTGTTAGAGAAAGAAGAATCCTAATATATTTAAGGTAAATATCTCATGTTAAGAATGTTTAAAGCAAAATAGATGCTTCCTAGTAAATACAGGTTCTTCTTTCCTTCCAACACTTGAATTTCTGAGCTCTTGTTTGAGTTATCTCTTTCTTCCTAATACCACATAGTCAGCATGGTCTTTCAGCAAACTTACCTTTTTCCTGGGATTTTTGGATACTGACTTTGAGAAAGCTGTGTTGGACACTCCTCCCAGGCCATTTTAAACAATGAATAATTATTTGAAAACCAAAGACACTGTAGGGTGTCAGTCAGACGCATACAGTAGATGAACTAGTTAGGCTACACTTTGGTTATTTGACTTGGTTTCCACTTTATCATCACGTGGTAATGTTTGCATTTGAAGATGGCTTCTAGTTTCAGTTGATAATTTGACGGGAAACAGGCATTTTCACGCAGTTGCATAGTGGTATTAATCGGTTTTTAATTACCAGTTGAAAAAATTTTTTTCTCAAGGGGGTGCATCAATCCTGGAGGTACTGCAGTACCAGGTCGATGTGTGGAGTTGATGGAGCAAGCTCCTGTTCTAGCTCCCTGCTTCCAAAATCCACTTAACATGTTGTCCTCGGATAGAGGAGGAATCAGATATTAAGCATGTAACAACAGATACTACACTTGATCTTAGCCAAAAGGCTGAGAAGCAGTTAGTTACCAGAAATGTTTGACATTAACTAGTGTTGCTCTGTACCCCTGTGTTTAACATGAACAAGTACGTTGTGTTTTTAGTTTTTCATTATGGGTTTGCTGAATACATCATAGCAGGAAGGAAAAATTATTATAAAAATTAAGTAGTATAAAAAGCAAGAAACTTTCCACCGTGGGGTTTTGCTGTTAAGCCTTTCTTATCTATAAGGAGTTTTCAGAAATGGGGAAAGAGGAGTAGGTGGAGATGTTTGTGAAAAGGCCAGAATTTCTTGATCCATTTTGCCCACCAGGTCTGTCAGATTTTGTGCTTACTATTTTCCTTTTTTCAAAAAAAAAAATAAATAATTGCATCCCCTTTGAGGCTTCTGAAGTGGCCACGAAAGGCAACCCCATTCTCTTGGGTTTGGACCAGCTGTTCATTAATGAAGGGGAATGACAGCAATCCAGGAAGGAAATTTTGACCACAAATCCATGCTTTGTCCAGAGTGAACATGAAAACTTCCTTGTAAACCATGAATCAGTAACTCTCATGTTTCTATTCACCCCCCAGCTCCCCTTGTATATTTGCCATAGAAAGAGACGGTATTCTAGAAGCCAGCTTGGATTATGATGCCTTATTTTCTCAGTCCCTGGTTTAAAGCAAAATATTACTAAGTAGAGAGCATCACCCTGCATATACATCAAACTTTTTTGCCTTTGTCTCAGGAGAGTGTAACATCTGTTTCTCTGACCAGATGTGCTGTGATGTGTGACAGGCATTTTGTTCATTACTCGCTGAGTGAGTCGAGGGCTGTTGTAACACTGAGAGGGGCCAGGAAAGTCCTTGGAGGTTGAGAACCTAGGCCTTTCCTTCTAAGGTGATGGCTGTGTCTTTCTCTAGTGACATAAAAGAAGTCACCAACAGGTGGACTACATACTGCCAGCAGATTTATTTGGTTTTATGTTGTTTTTTTGAGGGGTGGGGGTCAGCAATACAGAAACCTGGAGAGATTTCTTGCAAAAATTTCCCTCCCATCCCCCACCCTTTTGAAAAACCTGAAACTCTGGTGGCACTTTGCCCAGCTCTCCCTAAGGTAGCAGTCAGTAGGCACGAAGAAGTGGCCAATCCTTTCATTGGCAGCATCGCGCTCTAGGTTGCCACAGTCCCCATCACTCCCTATCATCTCTTCAGCATGGAGTGGGTTACCATTTACCATCATGCTTTTTATGCCTGGCTCACTTCATTCATTTGTATTACCTGCAGGCTCCATAGCTTTTGAGTTTATGACTTCCTGGTGTACGTGGCTTATGGGCTGACCACTTTCCTAGAAACCATCCAAAAATACAGAGTGGTAGGAGATTCTATGCCTTAAACCTCAGCTAATCATTGCACAGTGGTTTAGAGTACAGACTCTTGTCTTGATTTAACCACCTGCATTTGAATCCTGACTCTGGCATTCACTAGCTTGGGGACAGTTGAGTAATTTACTTAATCTCCCTGAGCCTCAGTTTGCCCATCCAAAAAAATGGGATTCATTACTCTGCCTGCCTCTAGAGTCCTTATGAGTCATCAAGGAGTTAATGTAACTCAGGCTCTTTGAACAGTTTCGTTATTAATAATCAGCCTTTCAGACTTTGAGGCTGATCAGGTAGGTGAATGGACCTCTGAGCACCGGAAAGAAAGTGTCCTTGCTGATGCTGGTTTCTGTGGTTTTATTTCTAGAAACAGAAAATGCAGTTTCAGTGGTACTGCTTATTGAGTTGTACTGTAGGTAAAGGGTATTTAAATATTTCAGCATGCAGATATTGAGTAGTTTTTTCTTTTTCACTTTTCCTTGTTTTATTTGCTTACTTACTTTTCCTTAAAAAGTGTCCTGGTAAGACACATTCTATTAGCTCCCACATTTAGATGCTTTCTGGGGAGTATGTACTAAATTTCCCACCACTGAATGTTTCATATACTTTTCATGTTGGTAATCCTCTAGAAAAAGCACTAACTATTTATATTATGTATTTCTCTTTAACTTGGTACTCAAGTAGGAGGCACTCAAATTAGGAGAGCCTTAATTAGATACAGTATCATATTTTTGGTTGGTTTTAGAAAACGCTGCTGGGAGATGTACATTTCACTGTGTTGAGATTTTTGCACCATTAAAGTCAGTTACTTAAATAGCAACTCAACCCACCTGTGAAAGAAATACCACCTGTGCTAACCTCATTCCCATCACTTTGGTCAAATGTTAGGGCTCTGACGTTCATGTAGATTAACAGCATATTAAATAAGAACTGCCATTTATATTTAACTGATATATAAGAAGAATTAATTAGCTCTCATGAGACAGTTGTTTAAAGTTCATGCATGATTCTGGGGCAGATGTATCTTGATATTTTCATAAAGAACTAAGATCATTTATGTGTGTATTTATTGCTTTTTAGTCAGTGATAGGACTTGTTTTTTAAAAGGAGGGTACTTTCTAAAAATCTGACCCTGAAGAGCCAGATATTGTGTGATTCATAAATGTCAAATCTTTCTGCAGTAACTGCTATTCAGAGGTAGTACTGGTCTGTTGCTACTGGCCCCCATCATTTTATTTGCACAAATAGAAAACTTTCTATCAAGTAGTGTTAGAAGGCTTTGTTTTGACCTGTTAAGCATGCTTTGTTTTCTGCTTATTTAGAAGCTTTTAGAAACTCATATTCTCAATTTATGTAATATTTAGCCCAAGACTGTTCTTTGAGAAGGGATTCATCCTGTTTGCATTTGTACCTTTGAAGATTGCCCCTGGGATGAGACGTAGAATTAGATGGTGAAGAGTAGAGTCTATGGAGCTGTTCCAACTCTAGAGGCTTTTAGTTACTTGGATAAAGAAGAGAGAGAGAGATTCCTAGAGACATTCTTAAAGTTGGAAGGGACATTTAGCTCTGCCTGGCCCAACCTCCCACAACACAAATAAGTCCCCCTGTACCACCTCTGGCGTGTGGTCATCCACGTCCACGTGGACCCTCCAGTGTGAGCTCCCTGCTTCAGAGCAGTTCTTGGCACCGAAAGACAGTTGTAAACACATAGCCATTTCCTACATTAAAAGGGATGCAGCCCTCTGACCCCTAGCTATTTGTTCTACTTGAAACCTCGGAGAATAAATCTGCTGTCATTCTGAGAAATATCCTTTAAAATGTATCAACAAGCATATCTACGTCAGGACATTCTTCTTCAGGTTGGAACACTTCACTTTGCTCTCTGAGTGATGCCTAGACATTGGCCACATTCCAGTCTCCTAGTGTCCCATTTAAAACATGGCACCCAGAACTCCAATGGCGTATTCTGATCATTAATTGCAGGGTAGTTAGCTTCCTTATTCTGGACACCAGAATTCTGTTAGCATAACTGAAGAGTATGTTTACTTTTTCCAGCAACCTTGACAGAGTTAACTCATTGAATATGTGACTTGTTGAAATAAACCCCACTCCCCACCCCAAAACACACATACACAGCTCTGATTTCATATGAATACTGCCAAGGTTAGCTTTCAACTAAGCCTGATGTTTTTGAACCTATACCCGCTGACTGTATTCTCATCCCTGTGTAGTTCCAGCCTTACTACTTTTCGTCCCATCATCCTTGCATGTTGCTGTACCCCTAAATTTTTATTTTTGTAAAAATTGCATTTACGTATCTTAAGTTTTTGTCATCCAAAGATTTTGATATGAGCTATTGCTTAGAAACTTAGACAAAGGACAGGTCTCTGTGACATACCCCTGAAAATCACTTCAGGTTGACATGAATATATTAACCAGTAATCCTTAAGGTTGGTTACCCATCAATGAACTCATATAGCCATGCTCTCATGTCACCCACATTTATCCTTTCTCAGCATTATCAAGAAAGGCTAAAACCATGATACACCATGGCTATAGCCTTTCCAATCTATCAACCTAGAAACCCTGCCGAAGAAGTGAAATGAGGTTAGCTTGCCATGGCTTTTTCTAAGAGACCTCCTGCTGTCACTTAATGATGTTATTTATCTTTTCTAAATAGCCCTGTGGCATCTGAATGATTTCTTCTAAATTTTTACCAAGGGTCAACATCAAGCGTAACAGTCTCAGGTTTTCTTTCTCATATTAAAATTGGGACATGTGCTTATCTCTAGTCTTCTGATTCCATTTTTATGCTCTTGTGATTTCCTAAATGTTATTAGCAGAAGCAATCTACATGCTTTTCCAGGATGTAATTAGTTTGCAACTGGACACTTGAACTTACTTGAAGTGGCTTGATATGCTCTTTCTATCAACTCTCCTATCAGGAGCTTTTGTTCACCATTTATTGTGCCTTGCTTTTCAAATATGAGCATTGTTCTCATTCCTGAAGAATCTGGAGACAGAAAGTGAATAGGGTGTCATCACCTCCTCCCTCTCTATCAATTGTTTGAAGACAATTCTTTCAGAAGCAGTCCGCAGGAAGACTAGCCCTGCTGTCTTTAAAAGGGTTTGGACATCAGGTCTAGCCTTGAAGATGGATGCAGTAAAGCGGTGGAGGAGGCAGCAGATACCTGCCTGGTCAGAACCTGGTCAGTCCAATTGGTGAACACAGCCCCGGTGCACAGTGGAGTGGCAGCCACGTGGCTCCTGCCTCCCTCTTTAGTCTCTGCTGTCTTCCGCTGGGAATACGTTCTTCTTGCCCCTAAATTTAATAAGCCTTTGTGGTATCTCTGGGAATTGTGGTAAGACTCAGCTTGTCCTGAATTTTTAGTTCACATTGGAGAAAAATCATTCATTCTTTCTAGAAATATTACCATCATTTTTTTCTTATTTCCAGCACCATACTGTTGAATATAATTATAAGGTGAAAATTCCAAGTACTTACCCCCACTAGCTCATCGTGCAGTGGAGGAGAGAGCTTTCCTGTGGGATATTACTGAAGAGGTAGCTGGCCTGGGGAATTCAGGGAAGTAGGGGTCACATGGGCCCCATTATCTGAGGATACAATGACATTACCTGGTGCTTATAATGCGTTTAGGACATTATAATAACATTTACCTGGAAAAATGAGCTTTTTTTTTTTTTTTTTTTTTTTTTGAGATGGAGTTTCACTCTTGTTGCCCAGGCTGGAGTGCAATTGCACAATCTCAGCTCACTGCAACCTCCGCCTCCCGGGTTCAAGCAATTCTCCTGCCTTAGCCTCCGGAGTTGCTGGGAGTACAGGCGTGCACCACCATGCCTGGCTAATTTTGTATTTTTAGTAGAGACAGGGTTTCACCATGTTGGTCAGGCTGGTCTCGAACTCCTCACCTCAGGTGATCTGCCTTTCTCAGCCTCCCAAAGTGCTGGGATTATAGGCATGAGCCACCATGCCCGGCAAGTGATCTGATATGTTATTACATTATAGCACCTTTCTAAGAATTTGATAAACTACAAACTGTGGACTAATTGTACTTAATTCCTGTACGTACTGAAAAGTAATTTGCAGCATTTTTCTCATTTTGAGAAGGACTGAAACTCTGTTGAAGGCCCACATGTAATCAGCCCATTCTCCAGAAGGGCAGGGCTCTTATTTAAAAATGTTGCCTTGTTCCAAGGCTTTCTCTGCCTCGGAAGTTCTTTATTTGAAGTGTGTTAGGTATTTGCTGTGTCAAAGGCTTTCCCACACTGATTATCATCTCAAGGCTTCATCAAACCAATGGATCTTTACACTGGCATTCATACTGTCTTTCTAAAATAAGTTTTAGTAAACCAAATCCATGTCATTGTGTAGTATTATTTTTTGTTGCTTTGTTTTAGGGTTTTAAAAATTTGTATTTTTTTCCCCCAAGCCAATCACATGGCTGACCTGCATGGACTCCTTATCAGAGTGATTTGAAATTATTCTACTGGGATCTTTGGTTGTTCAGAACCATTGAGTTGTCATCTCTGTCAGTCTTAGATGACAGAGCCACGCCTAGCTCTCTGAATTATTGACAGTCTACTCTGTGTAGAGTGTCTAAGGTAGTACTTGTTGTTTTCAGGTTTTCCTCCCATCACTTTTGCATATTCGGCGATGACATGATCTACTTAAGCTTCTGTGTCTCCTTGGTCAGCACCATCATTTGCCCAAGGTCCTAAATGTGAAATAATAAACACTTTCCCAATTCTCTGCCTTACTGCTGACACTCAAATACAGAGTGCCCTCAACATGCTTCTAATTGTCCCTGCAAGACACCCGTTCATCTGCCTCCTCACATCCTGTCTGCCTGAGGCCCTTGCGCTGCTGGCCTGGCCTGGGAAGCTGCAGGGTGGACTGTGTGCCCTGCCTCCAGTCTCTTCCTCCTGGCTTCTTTCTGAGGCACCTAACTGGTCATTTCCTATTGTAACTTTAGAACTCTTCACAGCAGCCTCTTGGCTACCCGATGATGACCAGACTTCTTAGCATGGGAGAACTGTTATCTTCCACAGTCTGAACCTTCAAATCTTCCCAACTCTTTTTTCCACTGCACCCCTCCCAGCTCTCCTTATATTTCAGACATTCCAAATATTTCTGTATATTTTGAAGACAGCACATGCACTTCCACCCCTCTGTTGATTGGTTTATGGGTTTATGCTTTTCCCTCTCTGCAACGCCCTGACTCTCAGCTGACTCTAAAGCAGAATGTGGCAGTGACTCTGAGAAGGGATTTATACGTAGACAGGCATAGGCTGTGAATGCCAAAGGGTGCTGTCTACACCTAGGGAGATCTAGAGGGTATGGAGGTCTTCCAAGGGTCTGTGAACCCTGGCAGCTGCTTCCCTGCCACCACACAAAGGGACACCAACATAGCAGTTTCAAAAATCCTCAACTGAAGAGGCTTTTCTAGAGGCTTGTAGAAGTGCCCGAGACCCCAGGTAGTGGTTTATTTTCACTTCCCACAGAAGATCATGAATTCAGCGATCTATTGAAAGGGAATAGAGCTCTTGGAAGCAGAGCTGACTAGTTAGATGGTATTCAGACCCAAACTGGCTGACGCTTGAAATACCTTCTATGTGCGGGCTACTGTAACAGAGCACTTTATACTATTTGATTTTTATACCTTTCTGAGGTATTTTCCCCATTTTACAAATGAGGGGCTAAACTCAGATAGACTAGCACTACCTTCCCAAGATCCACACGCACCTCTAGCCAGCGGCTGCCTGTCTTCCACCTTCTGGAACAGTGAATGGAACATATATAGAGGGAACAGGGTAACAGGAATTTCTGTGTGTGACGGAAGTAGGAAAATCCCAGAAAGGTTAGGAAATCTACTTTCCCCCGATTTTTGGAGAACTGTGTTATTCTTCCGAATGAGGTTCCAAACATAACCCCGTGTAATCTTCTTAACAATGCAGGTTGGTGAGGAGACTGAGGCTTGGAGAGTAAAATGACTTAGGCCAGGTCGCCCAGCCTAGGAAGAAGGAGCCGGGCGGGGACGAGAACCCAGGTCTTCTGACTCTAGTGTTCTTTCTACTCTACCGCAGGTGTAACGTGGAGAAGGTGCCCAGTAATTCTCAGTTGGAAATAGAAGGAAACAGGTCAGGATCTGTCTTGTATTCCCCTACCTCTAAATACGGGTATTCCCTCGGTACATGAAACAGATTGAATCCTAGAATCGGCCTTTGGAAGCAAATGTCTTCGGTCACCTCCTGATCACCCCTACTTGGAGTGCGGGATAGAGGCACAGATACTCTTGAACACCTGTCATGGCTTCTGAAGTTGTTTGTGCTGTATTTTAATCTGGCTGTGTCCATTCTATACATGTACTTCTTACAAGGGTATTGGGAGCTCCTGGAAAGCCCGCCCTAACTGCAGCATCTTGGAGATGGGTTTCTGTTGCTTCCCCCTCCCTTCCAGCACAGCTTCTGTTGTATGTTCCTTGGGCCTCTTTAACTCTGTGCTGTCTTGGTTTAGAAGCTTAATGCAAAGCACCTGTAGTGACTTGATCTCCTGCGAGACATGAAGAAGCGTGCATGTTCACGCTGTGCCTGCATTCCGGAGTTGATCATGGCATGCAGAGGGCAGTTGCTGAGTTGTCTCTTGTTTGTGTGATGGGTTGGGTTTCAGGGTGTGACTCTTGGGCCTACCTGTTGTGTGTAGTCCCAGGCATCTGAAGCCAGTCTCTTTCAACCTCTGTGTGCCTTTGCTTCTATTGGGTAGAAAGCAGAAATGCTTTTCTCCTAGAGATAGCGTGAACGTTAGATGACCTTGGTTGAGCTGGAGAGATGGATGTGCACGATACGCCAAGGCTAGGAGCTCTTACTCTTATAAGAGAGATTACATTTCTTTCTTCCTTTCAGTCAACCTGTACTTAAAAAAAAATGTTGACACAGTGCTTTACCGTCCATATTTCAATTTTTTCAGCTGACCCAATAACATCCTTTACAACATTTTTTCCGCCAGCATAGGATCCAATCTAGGACTGGAGAGAGAGAATTGAGGATGTATCCTGTATTTCAGAATGAACACAGATCACTGGTTGTGGCATTCTTCTTTATATAAGGAAATTAAAAACTAGGGGTGATTTATACTTACCCATTTTTGTGTGGAGATGAAACTATTGGGCAAGATTGTCAATTTTTGATATTTCTTGTTGCAGTTCAGTAAACAATGACTAATCCTGGGAACCAGGCACATAAACTATAGTGTCCACTGAGAAACATCAGGAATTTTGTTCTGTATTTGCCATTATGAGAAAGAACTCAGCTTGGATTCTGACTTGGAGATTGAAACAACAAATAGTTGACTTTATAAGTTTGGGCAGTTTAAATAAAGGAGGCCTTATGGCGAAATGGCATGATGTAAGCTAAATGCCCCGCCCAGGAAACAGGGACAGGCAGGAGTTCCTTTCCCTCTTTCCCCTCTTCTGTCAAGATGGTCATGTGACCATGAAAAGTAGATCAATAACTTGAAAGGCTATTTATTGCAAGTCCCCAGTGCCATACCCGGGCTTTTTGAGGGGAGATGATATGACGGTATATGGTTAGGAACTAGATAAATTCATTTTCACTAAAGATACATTTAAACTGTAATTTCCAGAGGCATAGCAAGGGGCTTGGTGTTTGCTTCCTCAGGGCTCTCTGGAGTCTGTCTTGCCCCTTGCTGTCTGTCACACACACTTCCTTTTCTGTAAGCCCGAGCTGACAGCATGGTGTTTGGAGATTGTATTACAATGAATTTACCCTTTCTTCAGAAGACTTTTTAAAAAGTTCTTTCTTCAGTGGTCGAAAGAGGCTCTTTGTAAGTATTGAAAATGGGAAAAAAAAATGAATTAAATGGAGATATTTAAAGCACAATTGGAAAGAGCTATGTCAACAAATAATGCCAAGTACCTGGTATGAATGACACATACACACAGGGTGGGATGGGAAGGGATGGGGCAGGAGTGGAGAGCGCTTCTAACTGGCTGTGAGCAGAGTGGGAATTTCTCAAACAGATGGGTGAAGGGAGGATGGGTGGGAGGGGCAGAGTTTGTGGTGGTGTGTGCGGGAATGGGGATGTAACCATGGAGGCATGGAAAGCAGGCCCCCTCTAGAGACTACACCAGTGTGACAAGCTCATTGGAGACAAGGGAAGACCGGGACAGCCCGGGTGAGGCTGGAGAAGCCTCAGCTCAGATCCCGGAGGGTCTTGAACACCAAGCTGAGGAGGAATTTTGATGTACTCTTCTAGGAGTGGGGTCTTGAGGGCAGTCTGTAGTCATCGCAGTGACTGTTAGGGGCACTGTTTCAAGGAGACCAACGGAGAGCACACCTGAGTTCTGGGCGTGAACGTGCAGGGACCAGTGTGTAATGTCTGTCATGTGGGAGAGGGGAGGCGCGACACCCAGAGAGCTGAGATCAGCCCTGCAGTGGAAAGTAAAGAGCCAAGAGAGGATCATGGGGATACAGTGAGATTTGTGTTCGGAAATGTCACTGATAGTCTGTGAAGGATGGATCGAAGGAGGCATACATTAGGAGAATGTTGTCAGGTAGTGGAGAAAGATAGTCCTTAAAATAAGAAAGTGGCAGTAGGTAGGAAGACAAGGGAAGAAATACCCAGAGGGAGGATTGACAAGACTTAGGGGCAGTCTGGATGTGTGAGGAGGAGAGGAGGAAGAGGAGGAGGAAGAGGAAGAGAACTCACATAGCTCTTGGATCTCTGCCCTGAGTGATCAGTGAACGGCGGTGCCATTTACAGAAATGCAGGTGGCAGGAAAGTTGGTGTGCGTGAAGGCACTTATATGTATGTGTGTGTGCTCATGTGCATGTATGTAGTTACCTGGCCCTGCATACACTATCACAGGACAGCTGAACTCTCTACTCAGCCATTAGCAGCCCTTGATGTTGTGATTATGTTGTTAGTATTGACCGCTCTTTCAGGACCAGCCAACAGGCTCTTTTAGGCAAAATTTATTTTTAGTACCAGACATCTTGTATTGCTTTAAATGAGGGCGAGAGGCTGTAATGATAGCTCTCAAGCCCAAGCACCTCTGCATTTTAGTGGCTCTAATTTCATTATAGAGAATTACCATGAAATAGCACTGTGACCAAGTAGATGCACTTTTAGGAAATTTTAGGTGTAGGTGAAGCACCTTCATTCATTCATTCTCTGTTTCTGATAGTTTGGACCCAGAATCAAGCTTGACAGTTTATCTTGTAGAGTAGCAGCCTCCTGAGGTCAGAGCCTCATGCATTGTCTGGTGCAGGAGCATTTCATGATGCTTCCCAGAGTGAGGTCTTCCAACTCTAGCCTTTCTACTCCTTGGAGATTCCCAGTATAGCCGGAGGCCCTGGGAGGTCTTGCTATAAAGTCAGCTATTTAACTGCTTAACCCAGCATCTCCCAAACTTATTTGACCAAAGAATCCCCTTTTCACAGGACACTGTTACTCATCCATTAAGCTAGTGTTCTGTGGAGCACACTTTGAGAAATGCTGAATTAGAGCCCAAATATTACATTTAGTGCAGAGAGAATCTGCTCAGGGAGATGTGGACTCCAGTGCTTTATTTTGCCCTCATTACAAATATTGATACTTTAAACGTTTACTGAAACAGGCTGCTTTGACTCCTGGTGACTCGATCTTATTTATGGTGCTCAGCCAGTTATGCCCACATACAGCAGGTGGGCAGCCCACAAATAAACTTAGTCCGTCTGTTTTCCAAGACACAGAGTGCTCCCCCTTATCTTCCAGCATTAGCCTGGCCCTGAAGCCCCTCCTTGCAGGGTCTCTGCCTCTCAAGCTCCAGGCCCACACCAGTATAAAGGACCCCTCTCTGAAGGAAGGGAAGGAGGCTCAGCTGGAAATAACAAAATGGATTTTCTTACAGGGCTGACACACTGTTTTCCAAACCACTCTATAAACGTTTTGATTAAAAATGGATTGCTCTGAGAGATAGCAGTTATTTGGATATATATATGTCCTTGTATATTCATGGGGGAAAAAAACTGTCTCATTCCTTTAGAATCACACCTAATACGTCTTTCTTGAGAATTTATTAGAACAGCCATTGTAGGAAAAAGCAGCACTCCGGTGCCTGCCACGACCCACCCGTTTAACAAAGCAACGTGTGGGACTTGGGCACAGATGGAGAGGCATTTGATTTTTGTCTGCAGAAGCTTTGTGCTTTTTAATTTGGTCACAATTCAGCCAAAAGCTTTGAAGCATTTTACCATTAAGAAATGGGGAGGCAAAGACCAGGCACAGTGGCTCACACCTGTAATTCCCAGCAGTTTGGGAGGCCGAGGCAAGCGGATTGCTTCAGCTCAGGAGTTCGAGACCACCCTAGGCAAGATGGCAAAACCCTGTCTCTACAAAAATGCAAAAAGTAGCTGGGTGTAGTGGCATACTCCAGTAGTCCTGGCTACTTAGGGGGCTGAGATGGGAGGATTGCTTGAGCCTGGGAGGTCGAGGCTACGGTGAGCCCTGATCATGCCACTGCAGTCCAGCCTGGGGGACAGAGTGAGACCCTCTCTCAAAAAAAAAAGAAAAGGAAAGAAAGAAATGGGGAGGCAGGAAAGGATCAGAGGACAGAATATACAGTGGAAGGGAACGTGGGTTCTTACATTTTGAAAGACAGGCACGCTTTGAGTCATGAACAGGTGTAACATCTACAAGGTGGGGTGGCAAAAACTGTAGAAAGACTTCCCAGGGCCTCTGGCTGTACTGGGAATATTCAGGAAGCAGTAGGAAGGCTAGAGTTGGAAGACCTCACTCTGGGAAGCATCATGAAATGCTCATGCACCAGACAATGCATGAGGCTCTGACCTCAGGAGGCTGCTACTCTACAAGATAAACTGGCTAAGGAAGCTGCAGGTCATCCAGTGTCCGTCTATCATCACGTTTAGTCAGATAGGCAGTGGAGTTCTGTACCTGCACCCACTATTATGAAATGTCAAGTGAGAAAAAGAGGGTAGAAAAGTAGCCATCCTAAGTCAGTGTTTCCAAAAGCCAAGTGATAACTGACACATCTACTCAAAAACATTTTTTCAAAATGCTTGTCCCCCCCCACCGTACACAAACAAAAACACTCTGGATCTTATGTCCTGTTTCAAGCACCTTTGCTTTGTAGTAATAAATGCAATGGAAGAATCCTGAAGAAATGCATAGAAACTGAACAGAAGATGCTGATGGTTGCGACATATCACATATTAAAACTTTTATGTAATAATTCTGTTTATTTGTTTGGCTTTATGTGATAGTTAAAAAGTGCCAATTGGTAAAACGTGCTGTTTGTGGTGATATAAATAAAAGTTGGTCATATGATCCTTAAACATCATTTCTTTGGAAAAATAAAATTAGATATTTGACTTACAGCATGTTTTCAATGAAAGTAACCCAATTAGGGTGTTTGTTGGGACCTACTTTATTTATGGATAAAATGGTTCTAAATTACATTCAATCATAAATCTTCATTTTGGTGAATAAGAGTACATTATTATTTTTCATTATGCTTTGGCATACCTCCTGGGCCTTTTTCAGTGCCTTTTTTAAAACCCTGTTGAAGTTAAAGTTGTACTGCACTTACAATTTGATATCCTTTTTTAAAAATTATTTATTTATTTTTTGAGACGGGGTTTCACTCTTGTTGCCCAAGCTGGAGTGCAAATGGCACAATCTTGGCTCACTGCAACCTCCGTCTCCTGGGTTCAAGCGATTCTCCTGCCTCAGACTCCTGAGTAGCTGGGATTACAGGTGTGTGCCACCATGCCTGGCTATTTTTTATTTTTTTATTTTTAGTAAAGACGAGGTTTCTCCATGTTGGTCAGGCTGGTCTCAAACTCCTGACCTCAGGTGATCCACCCACCTCGGCCTCCTAAAGTGCTGGGATTACAGGCATGAGCCACAGCGCCCGGCCTGTGTTTTTTTTTTTTTTTTTTTTTTTAAATAATGACGTAACAAGCATTTTTTTTTCTTTAAAATACATAATTTTAGACTCTCTTGCATTCTATTACTTGTTCTTTCCACAACTGTTAAACATTTTGGCTGCTTTGAATTATTTATTTTAAGTAATCCTGTCATGAACATCTTGATGATTATCTGTTTCAGCCCAGAGCAGATTAGCAAATGTAAAATCATGCATCAGAGTGTGATTGTTTTTAAGACTCTGGACAAAGTCTTGGTGCCTTTCTTACTGAGCTGAGTGAACCCTTTTCAGTCTCCTAACAGGGAACTTTGTCTTGGTAACTCAGGAACATTATTTATCTATAGTCCTTTATGACTATTGGGGTGATTTTTTTTGGTGTTGTTGAGAGAAAGTCGACTGTATTGACCAGGCTGGACTACAGTGGCATGATCTCAGCTTGCTGCAACCTCCACCTCCTGGGCTCAAGCGATCCTCCCACCTCAGCCGCCCAAGTAGCTTGGGACTACAGGCACACACCACCATGCCTGGCTAAGTTTTGTATTTTTTTGTAGAGATGGGGTTTCTCCATGTTGCCTAAATTCCCAAGCTCAAGTGATCAGCCTGCCTCAGCCTCCCACAGTGTGGGGATTGCAGATGTGAGCCACTGTGCCCCACCATTGGGGTGATATTAACATCTACTAATTCCATGACCAAAAACAAGTCTACTCCCATCCCACCCTGTTTTGCTCTTGCTTCAAGGGTCTGGGCGATTATATTTCCAAACTGGTTAGGAATTATCAGCAATCAATACTCAATAAGGCTGAGATGAGAGATCTCAGTAGCAAATACGGAGTGCAGATGCTTGTAACACCTGCTTCATGACTGGCTCAGGTTTCTGCAGGCTCTCTTGATAAGTAGGGGCACTACTGTGGTCTAGTAAAGTCTTCAATGACATATATTAAACTTCATAGGAACCTGAACCTGAAAAGGAACAGCATTTTTCACCTACTGCCCTGCAATGTTGACCCAGTTTTTTAAGTTTTCTTCCCAAATGATTTTGCTATGTTTGATTCCTTTAGGATTGTGATAGCTTTTCGGTAAAATCCTTCCAACCTCAAGTGAGTATTCTAAATCATGACATCATTTTCTTATTGAGGCAAGATAGTCACATTTTTACCTTTATTAATATAAACAGAATTTATTTCAGCTATGGTTAAGATTTCTTTCTCAGCAGTATCCATTAGGTATTCTGGTCAACAGATCAGCTTGAGCAGGTGAAAAAGAAAAACCATAAAACAAAAGACCCTCACTAAATACAATTTTCGTCTGGTCGTGGAAAAAAAAAAAATCATTAAAAGACATAACCCGTATTCTAGAAGTAGATTTCTTTTTTCTTTTCTTTTCTTTTTTTTTTTGAGACCGAGTTTCGCTCTTGTTGCCCAGGCTGGAGGGCAGTGGTGTGATCTCAGCTCACCACAGCCTCTGCCTCCCAGGTTCAAGCGATTCTCCTGCCTTAGCCTTCCTGAGTAGCTGGAATTACAGGCATGCGCCACCACGCCCAGCTCATTTTGTATTTTTAGTAGAGAAGGGGTTTCTCCGTGTTGGTTAGGCTGGTCTCGAACTCCCGACCTCAGATAATCCACCCGCCTCCGCCTCCCAAAGTGCTGGGATTACAGGCGTGAGCCACCGCGCCCAGCCAGAAGTAGATTTCTTAACTAGCATATCAGCCTTCAGCATGTCTCTAAGCTTAAAATATAATCAAAATTAAGCTGACATTTATGTAAAGTTTATAATGTATGCAGTCACCAGTTCAGAGTCATAGTATAGATGTGGAATTACAGTTTTGGTTTGTGGAAGTCATGAGAAAAATGCCTTTTGGTTTGTGGAGGTAATGAGAAAAAAACCGGTTGCCAGATGAAGCATAACGAATTAAATCTCAGTAGCGTGTGTATAATAAGCCATGCATACAGGAGTTCAAACTACCACTTGCTGCACAGTGGTATGTGGCGCTTTTCCATCTCGTGCTCTATGGTAGCATGGCCACGTCGCTGTGTCTGTTCACTTCCATGGCGAGGAGAGGTACTTGTCCACAAGCACCTGTGAAATGTAAGACCAGTGAGTGCCTTTAAACTTGTATTTCAGGTTGTACCTCTCCCGCACGTACCCCATGTCTTATCAGAGCCATACTTGCTGGTCTGAGGTAGATTATTATGTAAAATCCATCTGATGTCACAGGCCATCAGTGGTCTTGGGGAGGGGGTCTCATTTTTGTCTGGGAAGTAGTGCACTTTCCAAGTAACAATTTATATTTAGGCCTTAAATTGTGTAAAATGACATAATGGAAAACACCTTGGGATAGGATACACATTTTAACAGAAACAGAACACCTTCTGTAAACACCATGGTACAATTAGACCATTGTTCTGTACTTAAAAAAGGAAAAAAGCAACTTTCTGGCCGAGGGTGGGAGGGTGCATAGAAAACTACCACATTTGAAAAGGTATATTAAAAAAGCCCTTGCTCAGCTCAAATTAGAGAAAGAAATGACAAGAATTCAAAACTATCAGGCTGCTTCAGTTCCTTTTTTGTTTGTTTACTTTTGTTTAACCTGTAATTTAGGAAAAAATAAATTAGCAAGTGTTCGTGCTACCCCAATACATTCTGTAGTTGACGTGGAAGCTAGGTACTGCCCAGGACCTCCTGGCTTTGTCTGCCAAAGCTGGCCGTCCAAGCCCTTGCTCTGGGAGGGAGGGGGATGAGTTTGATGTCTGTAAGCAATCCCCACCCTGTGGGGAGGAGAGAAACAGTAGCACACATGGAAGAATTAGGTTCTGAGCAATGAGGGGACTGAGAGTAAGTGGAGTTGATACTTAGGAGAATTTCCTCCATTTTTATGGACAATGGGTTCTTGATCCCGGATGGATAAGGAAATATTTGAAGAAGAGAAAAAACCACAGAGAAGAGAGAGGTCAGGCCTAGAGACCTGGAATGGGTCATAAAGAGGGGATTGGCCATGAAAGTTGGGGGTACGCAGGAGAGACCCTCCTGACTAGAAGGTTGGTGGTACCAGCTGGGTTTTTAGAGAATGAGGACATATCCTGGAGGGCTTTGGAAGCCAGACTCTGAGATATTTCAATGATGATGGAAACAACATAGTCCCATGAAGTCTTCCATAGATAACTTCTGGGTCCTCCTTTGTCCTTTATTCTGTGGAAGAGAAAAGAAAGTGGAATAGGTGTATTAAGTCCAGTGAGCCTTTATTTTTTAAACAGAATAAACGTGTTTATTCCTCATTGTACAGTATTGACCCCAAGTCTGAGAGCATTCAGCTCTCTTTATGAGCATAGAGAACTCGGGACTGGTCTCCTTATGGGGTTTAGAATTTTCAGGGCCTTACTGAAGACAGAGATGTAACACCAAGATTGTTTTAGCCATTTTACCCCTTAGAGCTTTGTTGCACTACTGGTCCAAACTGCTTATTTCTTATTTCACCAGTAACACAGTTGAAATTAAGAGTATGTCCATCACAGGTGTACAAAGATGTGCCTGTAATCCATCAATAGACAAATGACACCATCTGTTGGCAATGTAGAAGATGACACCATGAAGATGTCATTGAGGGGAGGGTCAGGTGTTAAATCCGCAATTACAAAGAGATCTGACTTTTGGGTTGCTGCTAGGTTATAGAGAATGCTAATTTTAAACAAGTTGCTCATAGAAACTGAACGATTCATATCTACAAATTACTGTCATTGCATTTCATATGCACCTTTTCAAACAGGTAAAATGTTTGGGTGTATAAATCTCACAATGGTAGAAAAAGAACAGACCAGAAATTGTGGCCCTGTGTTGAAGGTGATGGTAAATAAAATAGTTTTTGCCATATACTATTTGGCATAAGTTAGGGAAGTATGAATGCATTTCTCAACCTGGAAGAGATCCTGGAAGAGATGCGAGGGGTAGAGGTGGTTGAGAGGGTGAGAGAACACCTTGGTTCTTGCCACAGTGACCCAAAAATCCAATTCCTGAGTAAAATGCAATCTTCTTAAACCTCTTGTGTTCACCCCTGATTTTCATATTTATGAGGCCCATATGTGTATTAAAAAAATAAAACAACAGTGACCCAGTGTAGCAGAAAAACTAGCCCATCTCTTTGACAGAGGATTTTCGGTTAATTTATGCAGGCCCCTTTGCACTTCAGCATTTTTCCTGCTGGTTGCTAAGCAACCGTTTGAGTTACTGCGCATGCCTTTTTTATGATAACTGTCATTATGATTACTTTTTAATTATACAACTGGGACTATGGATTAAAACAGCATATTGTCACTGATGCTTTGCCACTGCCTTCTAGTATTCTCACAAGCTCCTAGAATCACCTTCTGAAATTTTCATGGCAGGGATTTATGATTATTTTTTGATATTTCTGGCTTCACAAAGGAAGTAGAGATGGCATCATAAGGGGAGTGAGATTTTTGTGAAAAATGACTGTATCACACACCACAAGCTGTTATTGATCTGGGTAGGCCAAATCAGATATTAGGATCTTGAACCTAAATTGTGAATTTCTTTGTGCCTTTAACCACATCTGCTTCCAACAGTAAGTGATGTTAAAAGCTCATATTGCTTTGTAGCCTGTGTTTGAAAATTACAAAAATGCTAAGCATTGGTTGCTGTTAAACCTGCTTTCAAATAAACCTACCATGAATTTGGGGGGGAGGGTATAGCACTAATCCCAGAAACGTGAAGCATCCACACTTGCGAAACATGTTCTTCTTTCACCTAAATTGCTGCACACACATAGAAGGGCAGTTAGGCAAGATGAAGGGGTTCCTCTGGCAAATAATAATAAAGGTATGTGTGGTTTACAGTATGTAAAATACCCTAAAAGGAATAAGACCAAGAAGATGGTCAGTCACTAGGTACATACGAAAGCCTTTCACTTGAATCTCCAGAGTATATTCTAACATATTTTGAGTTACTTTCTAAATACTATGTGAATTTGAAAACAAAGGAGTATGGAAATAAAGTGTTTATATGTATATACACACACACGTATATATTTACCAATTCATTCAGAAATGAAATTTTTAGCTAACAAGGATATTTTAAATATTTCTATCAAAATAAAGAGATATATTTGCTCTGAAAGGGAAATCCACAGTAGATTTTCCATATCGTATGTGTGACAGAAGTGGGGACCAAATTGTGTTTTACTGTGATTTTGAAATTAGCACAAGGGACATTAATCTGCAGTACAGTTGTGGGATTTTTCCTGACTTAAAAAGCTCCATATCTATATGCATGGAATATAATTTGCTTTGTTGACATTTTCTGAAATAAAAATAAAACCTTTCCTCAGTTGTGTTTGATGTGGTTTGTTTTTGTTTGTTTCACCCATCCTACAGTTCAGGGCGACAGCTCAGTGAAGTCTTCATTCAGTTACCTTCAAGGAAAGAATTACCAGAATACTATGAATTAATTAGAAAGCCAGTGGATTTCAAAAAAATAAAGGTAGATATTTTGTTTACCAACTTTATTCTTCAAGTAAATTAAAGGAGCAGTGTAAATTCATTGAAATGGTTGTAGTTGGAGCTGACCACCACTGATGCCCACCCAGGCCTCGCCACAGGAAAGGTTGGGATGTCCTTGTGCTTTTCTGTGAATGTTACTTAATCACGTTGAGAGCTCATGTTATATTGCATTTTATTGAAGACCTTTCAGGCTCTCTGCTCCCCCCGCCCACATTATTGCTCTTCTTATTTCCCGTCATATGCTCCTCGTTGGCAAAAGGAATGACAGTGGGAGGGTGGACTTGGTGAATGGCGCCCCCTGGGCTTGTGCAGTCCCACAGCCCTGGCAGGGCTTTATGCTGTGAAGACAGAGGGAAAATCAGGCTTCGGTAACTGAGTAATGATTGCTGAATTTTCCTCTCCCTCTTTGTTTTCTCCATCTTCTCTAAAATTTCCATTAGGAAAGGATTCGTAATCATAAGTACCGGAGCCTGGGCGACCTGGAGAAGGATGTCATGCTTCTCTGTCACAACGCTCAGACATTCAACCTGGAAGGATCCCAGGTCTGTCTTCAGTTGTCTAAAAGTTCTTAACTGTAAATGTGCCCATGTTCTTTTTAAGTAAAATAATTCATTTTCTACCTTTTGAATCATTGCTAGTGGCAGAAGAAAAATAACTAAAAACCTATGTTCCTTGCCACCTATGTAAGAAAATAGAGGCTTTGACATCTTCAAATTACCTTTGTACCACAGCTGTGCTAGTGCCTACTCACACTTCTCTTCAAAGCCTATATTCTTTTTTTTTTTCTTTCCTTTTTTGAGGCAGAATTTCACTCTGTCTCCCAGGCTGGAGTACGGTGGTGCCTTCTCAGCTCATTGCAACCTCCGCCTCCCGGGTTCAAGCCATTCTTCTGCTCTCGGCCTCCCAAGTACCTGGGATTACAGGCACCCACCACCATGCCTGGCTGATTTTTGTATTTTTAGTAGAGATGGAATTTCACCATGTTGGCCAGGCTGGTCTCGAACTCCTGACCTCAGGTGATCTGCCCACCTCGGCCTCCCAAAGTGCTGGGATTACAGGTGTGCACCACTGTGCTGGGCCTCAAAGCTTATATTCTAATTAGAGGAGGGATTCAAGTAAATCATTGAAGGTAATGCTGAAAGGCTGGCAGTAGCATTTTTGCTTTTTTGGAGATTGTATATTTGATTATATTTACATTTATTTTTCCGATTGTACTCTTGCATCAGGAGCTGAAACTACTAGAATGTAAGACAAAACAAACTATAGGAAAAAAATAAACACTGCCTCTAATTGCTTTTTAATCTTTTTTATCAGCCCAATTGCAATTCTCTTTACTCCCCTTCTCCATAGTTAACAAGTCTAAGAGTATATAAATGATCTGAATTTATTAAAATAACCAAGGGGAGGGCACTTTAATAACACCTCAATTACTGTCACATTTTGTAGGAATTTTTTCCTGTCTGTATGTCTGGCCTGGTGCCTTCAGACCCATGAAGAAGAAAGAAAAAGACAAAGATGTACCCCTCAACCAATGCAATATCAAACCACCTTTAAATTCCTTAAGCCTGCACATCAATTTCAGTCATCAAACAGGAGAATATAGAAATCTTCAGAATGTGCCTTGAACAGACCTAAACAATTTCTAAGTTAATAGCAGTAGTATCTTGACCAAAACAGGAGGTCTTGAAAGCAAGCCTTCTGTTACTCAAGGCACTCTCCAAGGAAAGTTAAGCTGGAAGCCAGGACATAGAAAGTAGAAGAATCAACAAAGAAGGTTTTGTGAATGACAGTTTATTTTAGTCTCTGGATAGATATTTGGATTCTTTATGTCAATATGGCATTATTATGATATACATCCAGTCCTTTTTTCTACAACCTTCCTATCTGTTTTCAGTCTCACTGTCACAACTGAAATGAGGTGTTAAGTGGCCTCTTGACTAGTTTCTCCCCCGGGCCATCTGGACGCTAGTTTGTCTTTCTCTAGCCACCTTCCTATCCTGTTCATTTACTGCCCCTTTCCCAAGCTTTGAGGTTCCCCAAAGAACGAATTTATCTCTGTAGACTGCTTGCAGAAGTCTAATATAAGTCTTTGGCTTCATCTGCTGCTCCTCAACCTAAACAGCCCATAGTCCGTTCAGACTGATACCATAATCACCTGCTTCTCCAGTTACATTTCTTTTACTCTTTAAGATCAGAGAGATTCTGTGTACCTTTTACTTCTCAAGATGGAAACATCTTTTTTTTTTGAGATGGAGTCTCACTCTGTTGCCCAGGCTGGAATGCAGTGGTGCCATCTTGACTCACTGCAGCCTCCTCCTCTCAGATTCAAGTGATTCTCCTGCCTCAGCCTCCCGAGAAGCTGGGATTAAGGCATGCACTACCATGTCTGGATAATTTTTGTATTTTCTTTTAGTAGAGATGGGCTTTCACCATGTTGGCCAGGCTGATCTTGAACTCCTGACCTCAGCCTCCTAAAGTGCTGGGATTACAGGCGTTGAGTACCACACTTGGCCCAGGACAATATCTTAACCAGGAAATTGACATCAGTACAACCCCAGATGCATCTCTTGTATTCTTGCCTCCTCATCTTTCTCATTTGTTTTCCTTTTCTAAAAAGCCCCTCTCCTTTCTCACTGCTGAAGGAATTCTTCTCACCTTTAAGATCCAGCTCAACTCTGATGCCTCTGGCAAATTCTGCCCTGATGGTCCCATCCTGTGTCTCTCTCGTGGGTCTTTTGTTCTGCCACAGTCATACTCACTGCCTATATTGTTCATTTGGTGCATACCACAATTTGCCCGGTCACTCTTTTGAACGTGTAGGTCTTCTTTACAATAAAAGGAATATGTTCCTAAAGAGCAGGGCTTGTTTTATTTTCCTTTTAAATTTTTAAAAAATTGTGATAAAAAGACATAACAAAATTTATCATAATCAACAAATCTTTAGAACTTTGTTGTCTTGCAACTCTGAAACGGTGTGCCTATTAATAACTCTTATCTCCTCCTTCCCCCAGCCCCTGGCAACCACCGTGGCACTGTTTCTATGAATTTGCCTATTTTAGATACTTCATATAAGTAGAATCATAGAGTACTTGTCTTTTTGTGACTGGCTTATGCACTTATGGACTTAGCATAATATTCTCCAGTGTAATCCATGTTACAGGATTTCCTTCCTTTTAAAGACTGAATAGTATTCCATTAAATGCATAGCCCACACCTGCTTATCCACGTACTCGTCGATAGGCCCGTGGGTTGCCTCCACCTCTTGGCTATTGTGAATGCTGCTGCTAGGAACATGGGTGTGCTAATGTCTTTTCAAGACCCCTCTTGTGATTCTTTATATACCCAGAAGTGGGGCTTATGGATCATAGGGTAGTTCTATTTTCAATTTTTTTTTAGGAAAAGGACCATTTTTGAACTTTTATCTTTCAGCACCTACCCAGGGCCATGCTCAGATAGGTGTATCCATTAAAAATAAAGTGTTAATTGGATGAGTATTGGCTGCTAATGATAAACTCAGTAATAAGGAATAGCCCCCACTTGCTAGGGGCTTTGCATTTTAAAGAAGATTGCTTTACCACTGTCTTACCACAGTATTTGGTAGAACAATCCAAATAAGAAATGTGGTTTTTAAAAATACCGTTTTTGTTGTCCAATATGAGGATATTTTATCTACTCTTCTCCTCTAAGCATCCATGCACTTTTAAATAATTTCAACTGCATTTGGACTTTGTATATGAATTTGTATGTCTGTATTTGGGCGTGGCATTTTGCTCTTGGGTTTTCATGTGGGCATAAAAGCTAACGGTGACATTTCTACTAAGATTCATGTAAAGTAAGCTTGTGTGTTGCATAAGGAGGGGTTCACTGCCATTTTAAATCTTAGGCCCTCAGCTTGCAGTTTTAACTGATACCCCTTTGACTATTTAGATCTATGAAGACTCCATCGTTTTACAGTCAGTGTTTAAGAGTGCCCGGCAGAAAATTGCCAAAGAGGAAGAGAGTGAGGATGAAAGCAATGAAGAGGAGGAGGAGGAAGAGGAGGAAGAGTCAGAGTCGGAGGGTAAGCCCAGACATTCGGGTGCTCTGCATCTTTGCTGCTCCTCACTTGCATAGCTGTCTCCGCAAACGCTCGCAGAAGAGACTTGAGAGTGGGGCAGATCTGGATGGGAGCCCTTAGTCCACTTTGTCCTTGCTGGGCAACCGGGGGCCATGTACTTAACCCTGCTCATGCTCAGTTTTCTCATCTGTAAAACTGAGGTCCTAAAAATGACCTCCAAGCATGTAAAATGTTTAGCATAGGCTGGGCTCTGTAGCAAACACTGTTTGCTTACTTAGTTTTTTGAGACAGGGTCTTACTCTGTCACTGAGGCTGAAATGCAGTGGCATGATCTTAGCTGACTGCAACCTCCACCTCCCGGGTTCAAGTGATTCTCCTGCCTCAGCCTCCTGAGTAGCTGGGATTACAGGCATGTGCCATGACATCTGGCTAATTTTTATATTTTTAGTAGAGATGGGGTGTCACCATGTTGGCCAGGCTGGTCTCAAGTGATCCACCCACCTTGGCCTCCCAAAGTACTGGGATTACAGGTGCAAGCCACCACACCTGACCTGCAAACACTTTCTGAATGTTGCCTTTGAATACTGCTATTAATGCCACCTATCTTCTATTCTTTACCATAGTGGTTCTAAAACCTGGAGGGCTTGAAGAGTATGTCAGTGTTTGATCCAGTAGCCTGTGGTGGGGCCTGAGAGTCCACATTTCTGGCAAATTCCCAGGGGAACTGACGATGTTGGGCCAAGGACCACACTTTGAGAATCACAGCTTTAGAAAATAATTGTCAAACTGAGTTGGAACTGTGAATTTTGCATAGAATTTTTTTTTTTTTTTTGCCAGGGGAAGAGGGGTGATGACAGGGTACTGTCTTTATTTAAAATGTTGATATTTTGTGTATCATGGATTTGGGGGGGGCATTAATTTGGGTTTTTAAAATATTACCTTTTAGGATATTAGTTGATTACTGGGGTTTGGTACTCCCTTCAATTTTACACCCAAGGTGAGTGCCTCCGTTGTTTTACCCTAGTTCCAGCCCTGACTGATAACCCAAATATTCCAAAGGTTAAGGGTGCCGTCAGAAGTCGAAAATTTCTTATTAGGGCATAGTGGCTCACAACTATAATCCAAGCGCTTTGGGAGGCTGAGGTAGAAGGATAACTTGAGGCTAGGAGTTCAAGACCAACCTGGATAACATAGCAAGACCCTATCTCTACAAAAATTTTTATAAAAAGAAATAGCCAAGTGTGGTGGCACATGTCTATAGTCCCAGCTACTCAGGAGGCTGAGGCAGGAGGATCGCTTAGTCTAGGAGTTCAAGGCTGCAGTGAGCAATGATCACACCACTGCCCTCCAGCCTGGGCAACAGAGCAAAACCCTACCAAAAAAACAAATATTTAAAAACTGTAAAATTTCTTCTTTCCTATGTGTGTCTTCACCCTGTACTACTCAAAGTAATAAAACCTAGTAGTTATGGGCTACTATAAGCCAGGCCTGGTGTCTCACGCCTGTAATCCCAGCACTTCGGGAGGCTGAGGCGGGTGGATCACTTGAAGTCAGGAGTTTGAGACCAGCCTGATCAACATGGTGAAACTTCATCTTTACTAAAAATACAAAAATTAGCAAGGTGTGGTGGCGGGCACCTGTAGTCCCAGCTACTTGGGAGACTGAGGCAGGACAATCGCTTGAACCCAGAAAGCAGAGGTTGGAGTGAGCTGAGATCATGTCACTGTACTCCAGCCTGGGCAACAGAGTGAGACTCTCCAAAACAAAAAAGTATAGACATGCTTTTAAAAAATTATTAGGTTTCTAATTACATATTAATACAGATGACTTGGAAAATAGATTTTCAGAGGTAAAAAATGTGTAATTCTGTATCTCAACATACTTGTAATATTTTGAGAAGTTACCTTCAGTTTTTTTCTATACATAAATTTGTTTATAAAAACGTAGCACACTGTTTTGTGCCATGATTTTTATACTTATTATGAACACTTTCCATGGCCATGAGGGTTTTTTTACAGCAACATATATTAACATGTATATTATATATTAACATTAAGGAATGTACTAAAACGTGTTAATTATACTCTGTTCATCAGGCTGTTTCCCAATAATGCTGTCCTGAGCATTTTACCCATAGATTATTGAAAAGATGTAAAATGTATGTGATGCATACACATTGCCACAGAGAATGGAGTTTCCATTCTTGCCCTCAACATCCATAAGTGACTCTTTCCCAACATCCTTTTCTGGTCTCTCAATATCTAGTTAGTGATTCTGCCTTTTATGAATTTAAACTTTCCCAAATTCATGTAGTTATTCCTTTGTTCTAGCATTTGAATACATCTGCATCATCTATCTTAGCTATATATTTCATTATTTTAGAGCCAAATTTCTAATCTCTTCAATCAATTTAATTTCTCAAGCCTTGGTATATTAATTTTCTCTTGCTGCTATAACAAATTACCACAAACTTAGTGGCTTTAATACAACACACACTTATTACCTCATGGTTCTGTGGGTCACAGATTCAGCATGAGTCTCCCTGGACTAAGATCAGTATGTCAGCATCCTGCGTTCCTTTCTGGATGCTCTAGATGGGCATCCCATTTCCTTGTTCATCCTGGTTCTTAGCAGAGTTCAATTTCCTGTGTTTGTAAAAGCAAAGTTCCCACTTGCTTGCTGGCTGCCAGTGGAAGGCTGTTCCCAACAGTGTTCTTTAGCTCATTGCTCCCCCCTCCCCGCACCTCCACCCCTTGCTTCAACTGTAAAGCCAGCAATGACAGGTACAGTCCTTCTCATGTTGTGTCTCCATGAATCTCTCTTCCACTTTTAAGGATGCAGGTGATTAGATCGGGCCCACCTTGATAATCCACAATAATTTCCCCATCTCAAGGTCAGACAATTAACAACCTATAATCCCTTTTGCCATGTAATATAACATATTCAAAGATTCTGGGATTAGGATATGGACATCTTGTGAGGAGACAATATTCTACCCACCACACTTGGTAGCTAGAACTTTTCATAGGTGCATATGGTTGTATCATAAAACCTTAGGAAGCTGTTTACAGGGCTCACCTAATGGTCCAGTTTATTAACCTGCTTGTCCATAGTCTGTCAGGTGGGTTTTTTGGAGAAACATATCCACTGACGCATGCCTGACAGCATTAGAGTGCACCACACTCGAAAGCGCATTTAGATTATGCTCTCAAGGATACATTTTCTTACCCCTGTTGCCCGTCTTCTTCCTGTTCATTTTCTGTACTCCTGTGTCAGGGAGAGCCCACACCTGGATAAATGGACATATTTCACTTTGCCTTTCCACATTGTTTAGAAATGCCCATTCTGGCTGGCTTCTGGCATCTATTTCTTTAGATATCCCACATCTTTCCATTTGCATTAATAGATAGGCTTTTTCATCTCCAGTCTCTTCTTCTTGTCCTAAGTTACCCCACCGAAAGCAAAGGGCCCCACCTCATTGCTTGTTAAGCAGCAGACATTGGGTACAATAGATAGAAGGCTTGGCTAGGAGTACTATTTTGTGTACTAGGATTTGCCAGCCTTTGGCCCATTTGGGATGGAGGAAAGGCAAATGCTACCACCACACTTGAGTACAAAACAGCACAGCTCTCATCTCTTCTGTTAGCTTATGTTTCTGTGGGAGATTTTAGTTTTGGAAATATTTTGTGGGTCCCTCTACTTCACAAAAGAAGTCTGGAACATTCTCCTCTCCAAGATTCCTTCTGGAACTAGGATTCCCTCTATGACATCTATTTCTAGATGCCTTGAGACCCACCAGACATGGTAGAGTCTAGCAAAGCTGGCTTGAATGAGAGACCCACATTTTCAGTGCCTTCATCATCAAATACCAAAAATGGTATTCTATGGATATCTATCCCAAATAGCTACCGTGGAGCAGATTGTCTTTGATGGTCTTTGTTCCTTGGGAGAGGTACCTATATTTATGATATTGTACCTTGAACTCTTCCAAGTGTTTTCACTTGTATCCCCAGAATAGTCTTGTGAAGGTGGAAATGGGTGCGATCTTTCTGAAGGCTAATCTGGCAGAGCACTGTTAGAAATTTACCATATGGACATGTCCACCATACCTCCCTCAAATTCTGCCAAGATACATTGAAATAGGTTCACAGCAGCTTTGTTTATACTGGCACACACACACAAAAAAAAGCAGGAAACTTCAGCCCTCATCATATGAGACTGATTAAGTAAATTATAGTATACCATACGATGGAAAATTTTCAGGTATTTAGAAGAATTAGACAGGTATGTATGAGCCTTTACCTATAAATATCCCGCATATGTGAGTAAACAGTCAAGTGTAGAATATGGATGTGTATAAAGATCCCTTTGAGATAACTATTTAAAGAATTCAAGTACATGTGTGTGTATATACACATACTTGAATTCTTTATATTCTATAAAGACTTTTATAGAATATGTAGAATTATACATACACACAGAGAGAGAGACAGAGAGAGAAGAATGGATGTACTTGCAGGTATGGACATAAACATTTGTTTTCCTGGAAATAATTACCAGAAAGAGAGTTGTAGGGAGAGAAACTAGGAATGGGGGAAAGGAGGCATTCAAAAGTGTTTTCTTTTTACTTTCCATTTTGTACCTTTATGTTAAAAATGTTATTGAACTATTTGATTTTTCTTTTTAAGTCAACTGGAGTTATCTACGTAGTAAAATTATTGGCCTTTAAAAAACTATATTTTTAATGTAAAAGTTCTATTAAATGATTGCCCAAACACCTCCACAAAATAGGAAACACTTCCCCTCATTATCCTTGGTCAGCCATTGGGAGACAGGTAAAGGACCCAGCCCCGCTGTCCTCCATGGGACCTCGGTCCCTCTTGTTGCCTGTGACTGTATCATTTACCTTCGAAAGGGAGACAGGTTGGCAAGTGGAAGGGATCGCTGACTAGACAGAACCACACAGAACAGGCATAATCCAGGAATGTTCTGGGCACTCCGGGATGTTTGTGTTGTCTGTAGGTTGGTGATAGTCTTATCACCTATACAGATACCTCCCTTGTGATTACTCATTGCTATCTATTTCATTTGCTTTGGTTTTAGCAAAATCAGTCAAGGTGAAAATTAAGCTCAATAAAAAAGATGAGAAAGGCCGGGACAAAGGAAAAGGCAAGAAAAGGCCAAATCGAGGAAAAGCCAAACCTGTAGTGAGCGATTTTGACAGCGATGAGGAGCAGGATGAACGTGTAAGTGTAGCTGACTGGGACTGAAGGCGGAGGCGCCCTCTCCACTGGCTCGCTGGCCTCTTGCATTTCCATGCCCCTTCAGCCTTTTCACTTTATTACCTAGGAGTGGAAATGTCAGGATTTAGTGAGATTTCATTATTGAGGGATGTGAATGGAGCTGTATGATTTAGAACAAAGAATTGGGGGCTTTGTTTATTGCTTTTTTAATAGTCTTCAAAAATGAAAAACTACTAAATCAAACTCTCTTTTCCCCCTTTTTAATCTTCCCACATGCTTGCTTATAAATATGGTTTTCCCCATAGCCAGTTAATATTTTATATTCATCACACCCAGCATAGCGCCTGGTACATAGCAGTAGATTAGATAGAAGAATGAGAAAAAGTGATATGACGTCAGAAGTTACTGGCTCGAGTTGCTACTTAAGGGACCGTGTAAAAAGTCAAATGACTTTTTTAAGTACCTAGGGGTGTTATTTTTAATATTTGAAAAATGCAGTGAGCATCTATTGAGCCAGGCCTTGTAATATAGGTACCTCACTGTGTGGTAGCATATTAAATACTGATGTCAGCATCATGAGATAGATGTCACTCTCAACATGTTACAGAAATGGTTAGGTTATGTGTGTTTTGCTACAGATCACGTAGCAGAGGTGGGATGCGGACCCAAGTAGAATAATTCAGTCTAGTGTGCTATGCCTGACTGGGCAGCAAGGTAGAAGAGTGGGCAGAAGCTCCTAATACCTTGCCTTTTGAAATACCCTTCATTTCATCCATTCACTTTCCAGAAGATGGCTTCCTGGCACCCACATTCTTTGCTTTCTGGAAAGATAAATTTCCCTTTTTGTGTATGTGCTAGTTTGATTTTCCTTCAGCACATTACCATTTTGGTAAAATTTCAGAATTATGATCTCACCCCAGCCTTAACCCTTGATGCAAACATTTTCAAATACATTTAAAATACTGTATTTTCTTTAGGAGATATCAAATGCAGGGTATTTTTTTTCTCCCATGAATTTTCTAAAACCTAGGACTGAAAAAGAGAAAGTATTAGCCATAAACCTTTCAAGCCGAAGTGAAAGGGCACAAACACCAGCTTAGAGGGTGGGCTTTGCTTTGGGGTTTTCAGTAAGAAAAACTTCTCAGCTTCGAGGCTGTCGATGCCTCTTTAATGTGTTTCTGTCCTTCCACGGAAAGAGATTTGGCGGGTTGTTTCCAAAATGTCATTTTTTTCCTAATGGCCTCTTGATGGTTTGTTTTGTTTTATGTATTCTTTTTCTTGCATGTGATGTTACTTCATTTTATCTTATTTTTACTTGTAGGAACAGTCAGAAGGAAGTGGGACGGATGATGAGTGATCAATATGGACGTTTTTCCTTGGTAGAACTGAATTCCTTCCTCCCCTGTCTCATTTCTACCCAGTGAGTTCATTTTGTCATATAGGCACTGGGTTGTTTCTATATCATCATCGTCTATAAACTAGCTTTAGGATAGTGCCAGACAAACATATGATATCATGGTGTAAAAAAAAAAACACACATACACAAATATTTGTAACATATTGTGACCAAATGGGCCTCAAAGATTCAAAGATTGAAACAAACAAAAAAGCTTTTGATGGAAAATATGTGGGTGGATAGTATATTTCTATGGGTGGGTCTAATTTGGTAACGGTTTGATTGTGCCTGGTTTTATCACCTGTTCAGATGAGAAGATTTTTGTCTTTTGTAGCACTGATAACCAGGAGAAGCCATTAAAAGCCACTGGTTATTTTATTTTTCATCAGGCAATTTTCAAGGTTTTTATTTGTTCGGTATTGTTTTTTTACACTGTGGTACATATAAGCAACTTTAATAGGTGATAAATGTACAGTAGTTAGATTTCACCTGCATATACATTTTTCCATTTTATGCTCTATGATCTGAACAAAAGCTTTTTGAATTGTATAAGATTTATGTCTACTGTAAACATTGCTTAATTTTTTTGCTCTTGATTTTTAAAAAAGTTTTGTTGAAAGCGCTATTGAATATTGCAATCTATATAGTGTATTGGATGGCTTCTTTTGTCACCCTGATCTCCTATGTTACCAATGTGTATCGTTTCCTTCTCCCTAAAGTGTACTTAATCTTTGCTTTCTTTGCACAATGTCTTTGGTTGCAAGTCATAAGCCTGAGGCAAATAAAATTCCAGTAATTTCGAAGAATGTGGTGTTGGTGCTTTCCTAATAAAGAGATAATTTAGCTCGACAAATGCAGCCTGTTTCTTTGAATTCTAGAGGATTGACACCCTTGTGCCTGAAGTGGCAGTTTTCTGTAGAGGGTTGGGCAGGCTCTTGCTACAGAACACTTGATAGGGAAAAAGAGAGCTTGAGAGAGCCAGTCTCCTTGGTGTGGTCCAACTGTGTCACCAGGGGCACCTGTTGCACCTATGACTTTAAACTATTAAACAGCAGAAGAGATGCTGCCATGGGCCAAGCCCTATGAAGTCCCTGCCCAGCCTTAAATTCTGTTTCTTAGTTGGAAAATCTATATTGCTAGTTATGTCTTTTGATTTTGAAAGATTTCAGAAATATTCCATTGAAAGACTGGTTCAGTGAACACCTATATACCCTCCACCTGAGATTCAACAATATTTCATCCTTACCCTGTTTTAATAAACCATCGGAAAATAAGTTGCCGTCATTATGATACTTTGCACCTAATATTTCAGCACAAATCTAAGAATAAGGGTATCTCATAGCCAACCACAGTCCTATAGCATACCAAAAGGAATAAACAATAGTTCCCTGATATCTAAGAGACAAGCCATAGTCGCATTTTCCCAGATGTCCTAACATTATCTTCTATTTGTTTGGTTTCAGCCAGGATCTTTTCAAGGCTCACACTTTGTGTTTGATTGTAACATTTCTCAATATCTTTTTTAAAGTTCTCAAAAAAAAAAAAAAAAAAAGTAGCACAAAGATGGGCACATTCTTTAAGAAGCTGGTGATGATAGGATCAAAATGGGAGTGTTTTCCTTCAACACTACTGGATTGATGAAAGCTTCCTTTTTTAGAATTAATTATCTAAGGAGAACTCCAGGATCTTTGCTTTTATATATATTTGCCAATGCTGTATCCTGCTTTGAATCTTGAAGGAAATTTGATCCACACAGAGTACAGTCCTCCTGAGAAACCTCTTTGTCTCTCTAAATAGCAATTCATGTATTAATTTCCAGTTGGTCCGAGCATTCAGGAGGAGGAGTTTCCCTTCTTGGTTGGTTTCTCGGACTTGCTAACCGCAATAGGATTGGAGACCTCCACAGAAGAGTATACCCATATTAGTTCCTCATACTGAGATGATTTGGTATCAGTTCAAAGAAAACATTCGTCTTTCCCTGCTTCTATTTCTATATTTTCTATATTTTTGTGCTCTTTGCAATCTCTCCTTGGCTTCAGAAGCATTGCTATTGCTAAAGCCCTCAAAACCACTGTCTTCGTGGTTCAGGATTTCTGTTGTGTGAAGAATGTTCTCTGATCCTTCTGTTGCTGTGTTTGGTGTAGTATTCTCCTTAGCTATAACGGAAGTGAGAGCCAGGGATGATCGTTGAGAACAGGAGTCTCTTCTCCTTCGGCGGCACGGGACTGGTGGTGAACAGTTCAGCTGATGATCTTCCCGGTGTGAGGTGGCAGCAGAGTGAGCATGCAGTAACAAGAAGGCGGGCCATCCCGAGCATGTGCATATGCGGACCTGTTTACCACGTCGTGGCAGCCATCTTGTTCAGCTCTAGTTGCTGAGCCCATCAGCCTAGTTCTTTGCAAGGTCAAAGGTTTTTTAGGAACAGAGGAAGGAAGCTAAGAGTATCAGCCTATGTACTGATTGCATTATTTTATTCAATTACAAGAACCATGTGAGGAAGGCGTAGTTCTTGTTCCCATTTTACAAATAAAGATAACGCAAAGAAGAGATTGAAGAGCAAAGAGCTGTGCACCAAAAGTTGAATTTGTTTGACTCCAGACCCCATATTCCTTGGAGCTTCCCCACCTCCCCTCAGTGAGTGAGGTCCGGAACTGATCTGTTGATAAGCTTCAGGCACCATTTACCTGGCACTTGCTGACACAATTGGGCTTACAGACAAGTCCTGGCTCAAGTTTCTAGTTCCCGTGGCTGAGCCTTTCCACTGAGACCCAGTTTTCTTGGCTGGGCCCTGCTACTCTGGCTCTTCCTTCACAGTCCTCTGCAAGGGCCAGAACAGGGCCCTTAGGTCCCAGCTACTCATGTTTCCTAAAGGCTACTGACTTAGATATCACTACTACCATCAGATATAATGCCATACGTATACGTAGTGACCAAGTTCATGTTTGCCCCACGCATTGATAAGACCAAGAGTTTTCTGAGAAAGAGGTTTTTACACCTCATCATCTCTGTAGGTGCTGGACAGAGTATGCTTAGCGTGCAATTTTATCTTCAAGTCCTCCAGTTCCATATCCAACCAGACTGGCATTCCTAAGCACTTCCCATGTGGAGAGGGTAGAGCCATCACCAGTGCCACCTGAAGGAATAGACTCCGGACTGCCCCCTATCCCATCCTGGCCTCTTAGCTCTAGTGTCAATCTGCTACGTGGACCAGAGTTGGCACACATCACAGCTGGGTCTGCCTGAGTTATGCCACCAGAAACATGATTCTCAGACTATTTTCATAGGTCACACCCTTAAAATGGGGTGTTTTAAATATGAACCTCTTAATTTCCCATTAGAGATATTATATAGGCAGAATATACTGGAACCAGATATACTGTAGCAGGAATGTAAAGGTTTTAAAAGACGTTTATCCCTCTAAGACTGCTTATTTATCTTTAAGTATAATTATTCAGATGAGAAATTAGGATCATGGCCCTGAATTGGGAGTCAAATGTGTGGGTTATTCTGGATTTTGCCACAGCCTTATTTGAGTTTTGATTTCCTCTATAAAACGTGAAGAATAAGTGAGTCGTCCTGTAATTGCAGGCTATGTGGTTGAGACATACTGTTGTGTTGTCAAAGGTTTGCATTATGTTAGAAAAAATGACTTGTAAATTAAATGTCATTAAAACATCCAGAAAGATTCTCAAAGTCAAGGAATAGACTGGAGATGGCTTTTAAGGGCCCTTCAAGCATTGACAGTTTTGAAATCAGTGTTTCTCAAAGTGTGGTCTCCAAACTAGCAGCATCAGCACGGCTTGCAAACGGAAATGCAAATTCTCATGCCTCATCCCAGACCTACTGAATCAGAAACTCTGAAGGTGGGGCCCCCTAATAGAACATGCCCTCCAGGTGATTCTGATACATGCTCAAGTTTGAGAACCACTAGTCTATCAGGCTTTTAATCATCTCTATTATTTCATTCCTGAGGAACAATATGAAGCCATACTGGTCTTGATTCAGATCATTGGTTCAGGCATATATACCCAGCACACAATTGTCATTCTTGTAGAAAGAAAGTCAACATCAATGGGAATAACAGGAAAGGCTGAATATTTTTTTTCTCTCTCTGAAATGGCTTTTCTGTCACCTACATTACAAGGCAGCAATCTTCATTTGTGCTTGACTTAACCTTCATTGAGAGTGATGTGGTGTAATGCTTGGGGGAAATATCATTGGGTTACTTAGCAGAAAGGTAGAGACGTACTCTCCCTTTATGAATAAATGTTTTTCCCACAAGAATTTTATATTGGGAGTCAATCTTACTCTTAAAGAAATGGGCAGATCTAATCCTTTTCTTAAAATGTACTAAGAGCCTGCATCAAACTAGATAAAATAGAATTTCTGTTCTTATTTGTATATACTGTCATATAGTGTGTGAATCTGTTTTGCTTGGGGAAGAGTAATGAAAAATGATAGAGCAAAGGGTGAGGAATAATGACTGATAGGGCTAGAATTGCTAAACCTTGGTCCAGGTGAACTGTATTCATCCCTGGTGTTGTTTTAGGATACTGAGCTTCATGGAAGGCAAGTGACGTGTTCCAACTGCCTGAGCCCCTGTATGCAAGAAGGTGTTTGTGTTCTGCATCAGTTTCCGTAAGGGCTAAGTTGAATAATACAGGCAACTAAGTCTGGCGACTACAGGGAAGCAAGTTTTCTGTTTTTAAACACTGATTTTGTTACACACAATAATGAGGCCTCTTTGTGAACTCAAATGCAGTTATGAAGCAAGGCTCACTGTGGGATTATAAACCTCCAAGCGAACAGACTCATAGTCCCTCAAGCAAATACATGTATTTCTTAATTCTCTTGTAAAAATTTTAATTAAATTCCTCTTCTAGGATTATAAAATGGACATGTATCCACCACAACTAGCGAAATAATACAAAGAAAATTAATTTAGCATTCACCACGCCTACCAGGCAGTCAGCTTTAATAGTCTGATGTGGTTACTTCTATACCTTTCTTCTTGCACACATTAACACATACAAGCCTAGAGGCTGTCAAATGCCACTTCCCCAGTTGTCTCAATACAACCTGAGACTGGTGCAGTGGATCATGCCGGTAATCCCAGCATTTTGGGAGGCCAAGGCAGGTGGATCACTTGAGGTAAAGAGTTAAAGACCAGCCTGGCCAGCATGGTGAAACCCCCATCTCTCCTAAAAATACAAAAATTAGCCAGGCATGTTGGTACACGCCTGTAATCCCAGCTACTTGAGAGGCTGAGGCACAAGAATTGCTCAAACCCAGGATGCAGAGGTTGCAGTGAGCTGAGATCACACCACTGCACTCCAGCCTTGGCAACACAGTGAGACTCCATCTCAACAACAACAAAAAAACAATAACATATAACCTGATAATAAGATTAAGTTGAATTTATTGTTTGCTGTGGTAAGGGAGGCCACCACCTTGAAGGAGTCTGGTAGTTTCTTTGAAGGAGGTCAAGATCAGATTTTATTGAAATTTAAAGTGTGTCAATACAGGGATTTGGCTAGGGCAGGTCATTATATAGTTTAAAATTTGTGGAAATAGCAAGGTGAGAATTTTGAGAACAACTTGCCTAAGTAAGAGTCTCCTGGAATAGTATAAAAATAAAGACAATGGAATAGGAAAGTAATTTTAATGTAGCCAGTAAACTTTGTGAGGGTAGATGGCTTTAGCTCTCAGCTCTACTTTAAGGATGTTTCAGGGTTTTATTCTTTTTTCTTTTTTTTTAAGTGCTATACTATTCTCTGCAACTTGCCTTTCCCGCGTAACAGTACATTGAGTATTTTCCTCCAAGTCAACAGTTAGAGATTGAACGCACT